ATAGAACATCATTCAGTAACTTTCTATCTTTAGTAGCTCTTAGGTCTCATATTAAGTGAATAATAGAAAAAAATCTAAAACAAACCAAATAGAGCAATAGAATTTTTTTCTGTGTAATCATTAAACATCTTGGAAAAGACTGTCAGCACTTTTCCCGTGAATACTACATTCATTACTCCTAGGAATCTCTCTTACAGATTTATAAGTTTACCATTCGTCCATGTTTAGAATATTGATGTCAGATATTTTCTGGTGCTCCTGCTATAACTTTGATCCAATGAAGAATATGCTTCGTTATTGGTCTTGGCTTGACATCTCGTCTTTAGTCAGTTTTCTACCGACGTAAAGCTTCCCTGTACCTATTCTATAAATAATTTCATAGTAATTGTTCTAATGAACCTTCCGCTAGGATACCAAGATTATGAATTTAAGCGCAGTACTAGATTGGCAAGAAGTTCTCATCATATTGATTTTCTAAACGTAGCTTAGGTGTGACACAAGGCCAAAAGTATGGGGCACCCAGTGAGGATCTAAGTCACTACTCAGTCGTAACCGATCTAGCGTAACAATCTTGTTAACCATTACACCACGACGAGGTGCGAATTATGATTTTTAAGCGTAGCTTAGATGTAATACAAGGCCGAATGTATGGGGCACCCAGTGAGGATTGAACTTCCTACTCAGTCGTTATTGATCTAGCGTGACAAGCTTGCTAACAATTACACCACGTCGAAGTGTCCACAAGTTCTAATCATGTCAGCAGATGAATTGTCTTGATGTAACTCTAAATTCTATTTCTAGTTTCTTATCTTGTACTTCTCGCTTTCCAGTTTTTATCTTTAAAAATGTAAATGCCATGTCAATCTTCATCTACTGTTTTCCTCATTTCTCTTTGTTTATTATTCTCGACTCCTAAATAGTTTTTTTTTTTTCATTTTTCTTTCACACCCAGTAACCTCTTGTGCCTTTCTGATTTTATTGCTTTGTTTGGGATTATATCATTACAAAAAGAACGGAAGACCGAATGAAAGAAGGCTACATGTTGACATTTGAATCCCAGAAATACCGGTTAATTTAGCTCAAGCGATAAGCATCATAGGACGATAATTTTCCTTGTTTAATGGAATGCGAGTTAAGTGTCGCTGACAGCGTCCTTTGTTTCTAATCCACTCGGCTACTCAACGCTTGTAGAATTACAACCCGCGTAGCTGTGATGAAAAGCAACTGTAATTATGATGAAATACAAGACAAAACTTAATGACAAATGAAACAACTAAGACAAAAAAAAATGTTTGAAACGACTCAGAATTTGACAGAGAAGAAGAGGCCTCTTAAATTCAGCATGTTAATTAAAAAAAAAAAATTATGATATTCAACATTTAATTTCAAAGCTTAGACAAAGTTTTGACATTTAAATACATTTTCTAAATAAAGTTGAAACAACAAAAACTTCAAAATTAATTTATAAACATTAAAATATCAACCAATATTTTAAAGGGATTTTTCCCCGTAAGAATAGCAAAAATATTTTAAATGCTTAACCATGCACCAGCCAAGTTTTGCAAGGGAAAGTTGGACAATTTACACAGGTACGTTAACACATCTTGTTCGGCGATAGCTCAAAATGTATGAAACAACTATCAATTTGTCCAGTCTTATAACCAAGACATGTTTTCGGTGTCGAGGGAGGCTAACTCGGAATTTCATTTGAAGCTGTTGGAATCTACTTATATTAAGTCTTGCCAGCTAGCCCTCTTTTAGAAGCATCAGTATTTGTGTGACTTAACATAATTAACCATTAATTGTTATACCTCTTATTATAATCCGATCTTTGGGGTTTTAGTCGGTGTGCACATTACGTGTACTCAATTAGGCTTTCATGAAAGATTTCCGATAAACCGCGTGAGCTGCGTTTTATTGTGTTTTGTATTTCAATATTATCACTTTGCGGTAACGTAATTTTATTTTATTACCGCCCTTTTTCGTTACTTTTCTTTTTATTTTGCATTGCTATTATTGAATTTTGTATGGCAGCTAAAATAGTTGGATTGAATTTTTAAAATGTTAGAATTTCAAGTAATATTTAAAAATAACTTTACATATATTAGAAAGCTAATATTTCAAATGAATTTTTAAATGCGAGTATGTCAGTATTCTAATGCTATTTTAAACCAATTGATTAAATGTCAGAAAGAAAAAAAATATTTTAAATAAATTTCGTAGACGTCAGAATGCGTAAATATTTTAAATGATTTTTTTTTAATGTAAGAATTTCAAGTAATATTTATAAATGTTTTTCATTTCTTATAATGTCAGCTAATATTTCAAATGAATTTTTTAAATGCGGGTATGTCAATATTTTTAAACGAATTGATTAAATGTCAGTAAGTAAAACAAATATTTTAAATCCATTTTGCAGAAGTTAGAATGCGTAAATGTTTTAAATGATTTTTTAAATGTTAAAATGTCAACTAATAATTTAAATAAAGTTAAAAGCTTTTATGTTGTAGTTAAACTTAATGAGTTTTTAAGAATATTGGCGTGTCAGTTAATACATCAGTAATGTTTGGAGCTGGAACGTTTTAACAAGTCAAGGGAAGACGTAGAAGATGTAACTTAGTAACGATACCAACTCACCAACAATATACAAAAGTCTTTTCATAACGACAAACAATAAACATTTAACTGCAAAATACAAAAAGCAGTCAAGTGTGTGATCTTCATGTAGTGAGAGATGAAATGATACAGCAGGTGTTGATTGAGAGAAAATGTAATCTTCACTTGAATATCGAAAAGTTGAATTACTTGCCGTTTAAATTGTTCACCGAAGAGAATTGAATATGTTTCTGTTGTTTGTATTGGAAAAATGAGATGAGTTCAGAGATGTGCAATGTTCGTACGTACGTGTGTGCGTGTGTGTGTGTGTGTGCGTAGCATAGCGTCTTCCTATCAGGTATAGACGTAAAACTCTTCAATGAACTACATAGATGTGGTTCTGAGTAAAAACAGAGGAAAAAGAGAAAGAGTTGAAAATGTTTTCTTGTATTTATAATGCTGTATGTCACGTGATCGGCTCGAAATAAATAGATTTTTGGCGGAATTGTATTTTCGTTCAGATCAGAATCTAGGTAGATACAATTCGGACGTAGTTGAGAACATGATATTAATATTAACTGACCAATCAAAAGTGAGAAAATTATCGAGGCACTGTGATCCAGTTTTTGCACAGATTTTGGTCAATCGCAATGCTAATAATGCCCGGCATAATAGGGTAGGAAGAAAAAATTTTGTCGGTGTTTATCTCACTGGCTCTCGTTTTGAAATATATGTGTAAATGAATGAGTCTGTATATATATTTTTATAGGAAATATATTGGAATCTTTTTTTTAACCAATGGAATTAGTTAGATCACAAATAAAATTCTTTTTTAAATTGAAGGGAGGACACTAAAACTTCATCTTATAATGGGGAAAAAGCTTATTTTTCATCTCCTTTTAAACAGGAAGCTATCTTCTTTAGTCTTTAGAAAATATGCTCGGAGGCACTAAGAAAAAGTACGAAGATTTAAATATAAAAATAAAAAGTAAGGAATGGGGAAAGAAAGAATGGAAAAAAAACGGAAGAATGGGAAAAAAAAGGGAAGAAAGAATGGAAAGAAGAAAAAAAAAGAAAGATAAATAAAAAAAAAAATGTTTGAATGAAAATTTTGGGCAGACACAGCTTGAGTCCGCCATGTTTTTAGTGGATTCAATTTCAGAAGATACACATGTTCATCTCACAACTCGTACAAACATACAGCCCGCTACAAGTTTTTGTAACTTCGACGTGACTTATTTTACTCCTGATAAAAAAAAAAAAAATATATATATATATATATATATATATATATATATATATATATATATATATATATATAATTGGTATATACGGAATGAATTTCAATAACCAACAATTACTATTCTTAAAAGAGTGCTCAATACAAAGTAAAGCAGATATAATTATTATTTATAAAAAAATTATAACATAAGTATGTTATAAAATCACTACAAAAATAGCCATTTTGTTTCAACACACTCGGTGTCTTATCAACTGATGATGTTGAAGATAAAGTAAATGGTTTAAAAAAAATTTATTTTATCTTCAACATCATCTTGATAAGACACTGAGTGTGTTGAAACAAAATAAGTGATTTTATAAACATACTTATGTTATTTTTTATAAATAATATATATATATATATATATATATACAGACTCATTCATTTACACATATATTTCAAAACGAGAGCCAGCGAGATAAACACCGACAAATTTTTTCTTCCTACCCTATTATGCCGGGCATTATTAGCAAAACAATTATTTTTACAGCTTAAAATTTGTGGTTAATCACTGCAGTATGCAAAATCACAAATTTCAAACACTAAAATGATATTCTCCGGTGCGGCAAATATATTTTTTCTGCAACACGTGGGACCCAAGAGATGCTCTTTTCCCCATTAAGAATTACTACTATCGTTGAATTGACATATTCAGCAGGCGAACCATAATACACATTACTTTTACGACTGTATGTCTGCTGAACCCTTTTCCTGTCTAAGGCACTATTACGCTTTGACTTGACTTCACCCGGAAGACATGCCTACAAAACGGAAAACACAACGCCATTTTCAATGACAATTTTAATCCACACTCTTTTCTTCTGAACTGAACAGATAAAGTGTGACATAGCTTCATATTTTCATGATGCCAAGAGAACTCGATAAGAATTTTGAAAGTATGATATACATTCAACACACATAACAAATTTTTCTTACAGTTCTTAAACGTATATTCGACCCGCAGTACGACACTTCCCATCCCCGTCTCGCGTGTAACGATCCATCATAGTAAAATAAACGTTTTTCAGCACGAAAGCGGAACGGGTTAAATAAGGTTCCATACGCTTCTATTTAAAGCTGTTACTATATTACAGAAACAAAAAAAAAATGTTGAAAAAATAACGAAGAGAAAAAAAAAGGAAAGAAATAAAGAAAGAGGGAACAAGAAATAAAGTAGATCAGACAAATAGTGAAAAAGAAAGACATTCTGAAGGAAAAAATTATAAACAAAAAATAAGTAGAAAAAAAGAATCAAGAAAGAAAGAAAAATGAAAGTGAAAGAAAGAACAGAAATTATATATGGGAGTAATTATATACAAAAGTATATTTGATAAGTATATATCATATTTGAGTGTTGGGCCTCTTTCGTGGCTTAGACATTTAATAATATTTTGTCGGTAGTAGAATTCAGCGTTTTCAGCATTGAAAAGAATTTCGAACACTGTATGAACACCTTCTCTTGAAAGATTAACACAGCACACGCATTACAACTATTAGTTTGAAACAAATATTTGTGTTCCACGCAGGCGATCAATTTTCATACGCTGTCCTCTTCTGAATATCATTTTAAGACGATGAATCTTCTCTTTCAAATTTTTTCATGTTATTCGACGGCCATAATCTTAACAACATTTGATACACGGACGACATTGTGCTGATGGCGGTCTCGGAAGACAAACTAACTAAACTTCTGTACAAGGCAGCAAAGAAAAGCTACTCGTGAGATATCTATTGGATATTCGGGTTGTGTAACAGTCACAGGCTCGAAAAGAATAAAGTATCGCTTCTTTCTCCAATTATGGGTTAAATAATAATTATACAAGCATTAAGTAACCAAGTCAGATATAAGTAGCATTCACTTAAAAACGGCAAGTTTTCGTAATATATTAGCTTTTCTTACCGCTTGTACTAAGGTGAACTGTGTTTGCTGGTATTCAAATATTTAACATGTAGACGAGCTTATAGATCGTTTCATACTAATAAATATGTAAGCTTGGGCCTACGCTAGTTCTGATTGATGTAATGGAATAACCTGCCACTTCCATGGCTGGCGGCACTATAGGTGGTAATCACCTATAAGTATCTGTAGGACAGCGGGCAGGAGAGTTGAGCTGGGATCTTTCCCAGCTGCGCTAGTCGAACTCTCTGCTTTCGGGCAGAGAGGCTATGCCGAAGGGTAGAGTCTCGTCCGGGGAGGTAGACAGACCCGATCCCGTTAATGCGGGGACTACGGGGATTTTTTGGCCAAGCCTCCGGGCCCTGGAACCCCACTTTAAATTCGGCCTTGTGCCACATGTGACTGCGTGGGGTAGTTACTAAATAGCCTTGAGCTGGGATCTGCGAGAACTAGCGGCCTTCCGATAGCAGCACACACAAAATTCTACTGACTTGCGACGACCGTGCGCATAACTATACTTCCCTGCTTGTTGTACTGGTTTCTACCACAAACCTGTTATTATTTATCTACCTTGTTTGTCCATTCCATATTCCTATTAACACGGAATATAACACTGATCTACATTAACCATCTTCCTGATTCCATCAGTTCCCATATTGGTATTTATGCAGATGACACAGCTATTTGCTCTTGTTTTAATATTAAGTTCGACATATCTGATGTTGACACTGATTCCTTTGAAGTTAAAGCAGGAATTCTACAAGATGACACACTTGATCCTTTTCTGTTTATAGTTGTTCTGGACTATGTTGTGTGTATTTATATCAAGAAAATAGAGGAAAAAAGAATTCCTTTTGATTCAGAGTAGTCGGTACCCTCTACAGTACCTGACTGACCTAGACTTTGTCAATGATCTTGCATTATTTTCTCAATGTATCAAAGATGCAGAATTCTTGCTGCAATTACTTGAGCAAGCAGCAAACCAGGTAGGTCTCTGTTGCAATGTAAGACAGAATATATCACAACCTCCCCTGAGCCATCCGAGTTGAAGACACTCAATATTATTTACATCAAAAGAGTTGAGGACTTCAAATATCTTGGATCTCACATAACAGATTTCCCCCCAAAAAATTCAACATCCGCAAAGCTCTTGCATGGGATGCGTGTAACAAACTTCACAAGATTTGGCATTAGAACCTTCCATCCTTCTTAAAAGTCCAAACCTTTCGAACATTTATTGAACCAGTTCTACTGTATGGATCAGAAACTTGGACATTATCTGTTCGTCTTGAAAGACGACTGGATGGAACATATACAAATCTATTTAGAAAAATCAAGAACATAAGTTGGAGATTCCATGCAACGCTTTACACAATTTACGGAGAACTGAGACCAATTTCTCTTCGGCTCAAAGAAAAACGATTACAGTTTGCCGACCATTACCACCGAGCGGACAGGGAAACCGTCTCTTTCTCATTCTGATGTCATCCTTCTGGAAGTGTCTTCTAACGAAAATTGACTTTCCCAGACGCCATAGCTCGAGACTCAGGGTTGGACATTGGGGATCTGAGGACTGCAATAAAGAACCGAACATTGTGGAAAGTGATTGTCAATGGTGTCCCGACCAAACATAGGGAGATCGTAGGATGATGACAATGATGATGACGATGATGACGACGATGATGATGACGACGATGATGATGATGATGATGATGAAAACTGGCAACTGTTCTCCAGAAGGACATCTAATCACTGGTTAACTGGAGAAATGAATGGCTTGTACATTTTTAATGTGTGTATAACAAAACTGCTTCCATTTAATCATCACTGATAATCTTTTTCTAAGTGCCACCATCATGGCTGATGCTAAAGTCCAGGCGAGCAGCACTACGCCTTCTTGGGCTCACGGTTTTCGCTGACATGAAGTGGAATGACTATATTGAATCAATTTCACTCTCAACGTTTTTCTCGTCAGAATCCATCTAGCACATTTATAAATCTTCCATTCGTCCGTGCATTGTATACTGCCACCATATCTGGTCTGGGCCTCCTGATGTCTATCTCGAGATCCTTGACAAAATCCTAGAAGCGTCTGTAATGTAATCAATCCTCACCAGGCATCTAGACGTCAGTCACTTTCTCACCGTGTCTTGCCGCTGCCATTTCTATAAATATTTTCATGGCAGCTGCTCTGATGAGAGCATTTTTTCTTAGTGTTTCTACTAAATGAATTTAACCGTGCTATTAGATTGGCAACTAGGTCTCACCGTTTTACTGTTAGAACTAGCTAGATGCAATCACCACTTCTATTCTAACCGTTTCTTTTCTCGTACTTCGCACTTGTGGAAATCCTTAAAATCGTCTCTTTTCCGTAAAATCTTCAAAAATTTAAATGCAACGTCAATCGCCATCTTCTGTCTTTTATTGCCTTTTCCTAACTTCTAATGTTTTCTCATTCTAATTCACTCCCTGTAACCCACTGCATTCTAGTGGCATGATCACTTGGCTTATGGTGATATGATTAATTTTTTAAATAGCTGTATAGTACATGAGGCACATACTATAGATATTTTGAAAATATTATGGAGTCTACAATTAATAAAAATGTAGGATTGTAGACTGCTATCTGGACTGTGGTAAAAAAAAGCTCTAAGAAGACAGAACATGTGGTCGTCCGCATGTGAGGCATCCAAAGTTGTGACCTTCGAAATGGATTCATCAAAATCAGGCAGGTACAAAAATTTAACTATCTAAGTAATGCAGTGATAGACGAAAAAAACTGTGATACAGAGATCCGAAGCCGTATCGAAATAGTGAAAGTGGCTTTCCAGGATCTGAACAATGTGTTGATCTATGAATATTTAGCTAGAGATAAAGAAAACAATGCTAGATTACTATGTCATATGTATGCTCATATTTGGCCACGTTCGCTGGACATTTTTCCTCATAGATGAAGGAGAGTGTTGAAGCAATACAGATCTATTCTCTACCGACGAATGCCGAGAATATCATGGACGGGGCATGTGAACAATGAGGAAGTTTTAAGGAAAATGGATACCAAAAATGAGACATGCATTTTGTATCGGAAGGAGAGAGCTGGAAATTCTTGAACACATTATGAAAGAAATAAAGCTTTGGAGAATTTGACACTCACAGGAACTGCTGAATGCAAAAAAAAAAAAACGCCAGAGAGAAATAGCTGATAATATTCCTAACGAGTTTTTCGCTATGAATGTAAAAGCATGAAGTGGAAGGAAGCTACAAATGATAGTAAGTTGTAGAGAGCCACCCAAGTCCTGAAAGGATACAATACATAAAAATATGTAGAATGCCAATAAAAGTTATATTTATATTGATATATCGTTTGCTTTTAATCCCATAATATTCGTGCTTTTAAAAAAGTATAGACAGCGACTCGTTTTGGGCGCGTCATGTTTTATTATGCAAACAATTTGCAAATATTGACTTGCATAATAAAATCTGACAGTCTGTTTTTACATGTGCCAATTTGATTCCTCCTTTCTTGCATTTGCTTCAACGGGGGAATAGTTTTCTTAACTACCAGTCAAATGTTATGCTTTTCCTATTTGAATTTATTGATAACTCTTAATGCTTAAGTTAATGGATGAATAAGTTCAGGGCTAGTTCTACGACAATAAAATATCCGTAGAATTTCCCCCTATCGCATCGCTAAATATTAGAACTTAAAAGCTTTCACACAATATTGCAACAACAATCATAAATATGAATGCTGGTCGTTATTTTAAGAAGTAAGGGGGTACAAATGTAAAGATTTGAAATTGACCACTTTTTACATTTCAATGAAATAGACGTTAAATACTTCTTACTTTCTTTTTCTTACTGAAACTAAGTAGTCTCTCTAATAGGTTTCTGCGTCTTACCACGCGATCAAAATCGAATAGACCTTTATTTGTGAGGTATTGGCAGATGTTAAAACTTCTTTCTTTCTTTCTTTCTTTCTTTCTTTCACTGAAACCAAATGATGTCTCAAATATATCATTTCCGTCTTTCCACGTGATCAAAACGGAATAGTTCATTATTTATGAGGTATTGGCAGGGCGTAACGGTCGTGCGAACTAAGAAACGGACAAGCAGAATTATAATAAGACACTTCAAGCAGATCTCTTTCCAGCGAGTGAAGATCCATGTTCTGAAGCAAGAAAATGGTCGACTGAAAGGGAATGTAAAAAGAAAAAAAAGAAAAAAAAAAGGAAGCGTTATTAGACGGACATTTTAAGCTTTCCTCCACGCAAACAATAAGTCATAACAAATACGGCCATTGTATTTGCTTCCCTATAGCTAATGCTTTCTTTTGTTTTTGTTTTCTTTTGTTTTTAACGAATCTATATTCGTCTGGGAAACGAATCTGAAAAAAAAATGGCTTTTGCATCAAAATGAATACGATAAAGAAAGAAAACAATAAAAGAAGAATTGAATCAATATATGAAAAGATAAAAACATTGGAAATAAAAATAGTTCTTGACTGAAGAAAGTATAAATGGAAGAAGATAATGTAAATTATACGAAGAGAGTGTCGTAAAAAGGGTGACGTTTTCTTTTATTATCATTGCGAAGGAAGAAGAAGAGTTCTATGAGAGAATATGGGAATGAAGAAAAGAAAAAGAAAACTAAGATGATGGCGGTGATTGGATCAAAATAATGGACAATAAATGAAATGGAATGGACAAGGCGAAATGGCGCAACGAGAGGAAAAGAATTGAAATGGAAGTCATTAAGAAGTAGAGAGATAAATAAATATGAACAGACTTAGATAGATATATAGATAGATATGAACAGACTGAGACAGATAGACTGATAGAAAGATATGAACAGACTGAGATAGATAGATAGATAGATAGATAGATAGATGGACAGGCAGATATGAACGTACTAAGAAAAAGATAAATACAGTCTGAGATAGAGATAGATATAAAATAGACAGTCTGAGATAGATAGATAGATAGATAGATAAATAGATAGATAGATAGATAGATGATAGATAGATAGATAGAGACGTACTAAGAAAAGCGGATATATAAATACAGTCTGAGATAGATAGATAGATAGATAGATAGATAGATAGATGGACAGGCAGATATGAACGTACTAAGAAAAGCGGATATATAAATACAGTCTGAGATAGATAGATAGATAGATAGATAGATATGAAAGTACTAAGCAAAGCAGATATATAAATACAGATTGAGATAGATAGATAGATAGATAGATAGATAGATATGAACGTAATAAGAAAGCAGATATATACATAGATGGAGATAAAGAGATATAGGAACATACTAACAAGGTTTGATATATACATACAGACTTTTGCTACAAAACCAAAAAATAAACTGAAAACTCGCGTCATGTCATTAAATAACCTCGTCATAATGAAACTTTTATATAGATGTCATACACACAGTCAGAAATAAATAGTCATGAAAAATTAAATATTCGTACTTAATGAAAATTATTTTTATTAAAAAATGTAAAAACTTAATTAACTAAAATTAAATTTTTTTTCATTTTAACTGATAAAAAAAGTATTTTACAAAACAAAAAGACATTTAATACTTTGTGGAATATTCCTGTACGTCTATTCCAACGTCTCAATGATTTGCACACATTGAGTGGTATTTTGTCTCATTCTTCTTGGCATATTGTCTTCAAATTCTTGATATTTGTTGGTGCTCTTTTCCCAATTTGAATTTTCAAATATCGCCATAAATTCTCGATTGGGTTCAAGTCTGGGGACTGAATTGGCCACTGCAAAACATCAACGTTACTTTCAGCTAACCATTTCCGGTATGCTTAGGATCCTTATCCAGTTGGAAAACCCAATCAGGAGATAGCTGAAGTCTCTCAACAGAACGCATTAAATTGTCTTGCAGGATTTTCTGGTATCTTTCGGCATTCATCTTGCCATCTATTATTGATATTATGCCAACACCTTTTGCAGAAAAACAGCCCCAGATCATGACACTGCCACCACCAAACTTTACAGTTGGCAACGTGTTCTTTGGTAAGTAGGCTTCACCGTCCTTCCTCCACACATGATTTCGATAATTATGACCAAACAACTCTATTTTAGTTTCATCTGTCCATAATACTTTTTCTCAAAACGAATATTCTTTATCCTTATGCTCTCTAACGAATTTTAGCCTAGCATCTCTGTATCGTTTCAAGAGGAGTGGAGTCTTCATTGGGATGCGTGATTTCAGACCTTTTGTGTAGTTCATTACTTATTGTACGCTTGGTTACTTTAATCCCTAATGCACGCAGATGTTCCTGCAGCTCTTCTCGGGTAACCTGTGGATTTTGTTGGCTCTGGCGTCCTAATATCCTTGCTGATCTTAGAGAAATCTTTCTCAAAGCACCTGTTCGTCTTTGGTTTTCGACGCTGTTTTAAGCCTTGCAATGATCGAAGCAATTGTAGTAAAAGGAATATTCAGGTTGTTAGAAATCGTTCTGTAACTGTTCCCATCTTTCCAAAGAGACAAAATGTGTTGTTTTTGTGGAATAGTCAATTCTTTACCTTTATGTATTATTAGAACCTTCTCGTAAGACTAGAAATTGCAGAGCGCTCTGGTAATGTCTAATAGCGTTAACTATAATTACTGATAACATTACTGGAACATTCTAGAATATACTTTTTTCATAATTAATTGATTATTTTCTAATAATTGATTTGTACGAATACTTTTTTCACCAGTTAGAATTAAAAAATGCATTAATTTCTGTTAGAATAAGAATTAATTAAGTTTATTATTATTTTTTAATATTATGTGTTTTTATACATAAAATGTACTGAGATTTGTTTTATTTAAGGCGAATATTTTTTACATTTATAAAAAATACAATTTTTATAATATGTACGAATATTTATTTCCCCATATGTATATATATATATATATATATATATATATATATATATATATATATATATATATGAACATACTAACACAGGCAGATATCTAAATACAGATTGAGATAGAAAGATAGATATGAACGTACTAGGAAAAGCAGATAGATAGATAGATAGATAGATAGATAGGAACATACTAACAAAAATTGATATACAGATTCAAACAGTCTATTGCTACAAAACATTAACATGAAAACTCGCGTCATGTCATTAAATAACCTTGTCAGATCGAACCTTTCATATAGATGTCATACATAGCAGATATATTGATATAAACATAGATAGATAGATTGATAGATAGATGGGAAACTGATAGTTTCGTGGGATACGGAAATTCCGATAAAACCAAGACATTAACCGGAAAACTCGCGTCATGTTCTTGGCAGAATTACAGATATAAACATAGATATATAGATCGATCGATAGATAAATAGATAGATAGATAGATAGATAGATAGATAGAGAGAGAGAGAGAGAGAGAGAGAGAGAGAGAGAGAGAGAGAAAATGTGAAACATAGATGGCATACATAGCGCCAAACTCGTTCAGAAATATCTAAATTGCCTGCTGTATAGAACCGTTTTCTAAGATCAATATCGAAAAATGTCTTTGAGCAAGTGAAGCCTATGAGTTTTAGCGAAGACCATACTGAACCTTGCGTACTGTTTAGTATTTTGGTCAGAATCGCAACAATATTCTCATTCATGGTCAACCAAATACTAAATTCTAGTCAAAAGGAAGGGTGTTTATCGTGTCTCTAGATATATCAGGACTTTCAGCAATCAAACACTCTCATCCAGAGACCTACCCGAGGGGAATCAACTGTGACTTGTGTCTACATAGCGCTACAACACCCACGGCTTTCATCTCTTTTTACACGGACACCCTGAAATAACTTCTACTACATCGGTAGCCAATTTGATATCCCTCCGCCGATTGACCCTCGTGACTGAATTATGGGTTCCGGTAGACGTCCCTATTGTTGTTCATAATGACGGTCGTCTTCGAGTATAGAATCAAGAGGTTAGCAGTGAATGTTTCGAAGACAGTAGGGAAGCGTATTTCAGATTAGCAGTGGATATCCCGGTAAAGTAGCAGAACGTAGTTCAGTAGTTCTTCCTTCTGTTCTTTCGCCTGACAAGTTGGCACTGGACATTCGGAGAATAGATGGTGGAGCAGGGTTTTGGAAGCGATAACGAAAAGACAAAATTTATTAAGAGCTACAAAGGACAGGAAGATGTGGAGAGTCATGATTGACAACATCCTGAAGAGACATGGTACATAGAAAAAGAAGAAGAAGAAGAAGAAGAAGAATTCGTTTAATTTTTTTTCACTAAAGATAAATATTAAATATCAAATTTTGAAATTCATATTCTAAAGGATGTTCCAATTGTTGTTCATAATGACGGTCGTCTTCGAGTATAGAATCCAGAGGTTAGCAGTGAATATTTCGAAGACAGTAGGAAAGCGTTGTTCAGGTTAGCAGTGGATATTTTGGTAAAAGTAGCAGAGCATAGTTCGTCCTTCTGTTTCTCTTCGCCTGACAAGCTGGACTGGATATTCGGGTAGAGTAAACAAAATGGCCACCTTTATACACGTCGGATTGAATATTCTACGTCTTCTGATTGGTTAACCTTCTATTGGTGGACTATAAAGGGAGTTAAGTCATTTGAGCTAACTCACTAGTCATACATATATACACAAAAAACTGTAACACCTATCCCCAATCGTTCTGCTCGATCGCCAACCGGGATTTTTTCATTCTTCGATTAGCTCTTATTATTGGTGATCTCCTTCGCCCAGTGTTTGATTGATTGCTTTCTTTACGGTTTATCAAACTTTTGCAGGTTATTTTCATGCCAGAAAACATTTTTTGATTGTAAGATTTTTTTAAAGGGATACTAACGATTTACTGATACCAGTCCTACTGATTGACTTGGGTTTGGGTGGAGATGAGGTGGGTTCATATTTTTTCCCACAAGGGTATGTGCGCGTAAGTGAATCTAACGAAACGGACTGGAATTGAACTCGGATCTCCGATCTCCAATTCCGAGTAGTTATCCACTACACTACCCGCACATCTAAGCATCTGATATTCCAAAAGAAGGCCAACCATCTAAGTACTGACCATGTTGGACTTTTCATGTTTTTGATGGGATGTGGCAGTAAACCGTCCTCCCAGAAACCGTTTGTTGTAAAACAGTGATCTGTTAAATAACGTCAAGTTAAGCAAATCCCCTTCTTATGATTAAGTTTGAATATTTTGACATTGTACTTACGACAGGCGCCTGTTGTTATCCGAAGAAATATTGAAGTATTAAGGACTTACCTGGAAAACAAAACAGAAAAGAAAATTATAGATAAAACAAAATATTGAGAGGTTAGATACATAATCACGTACACATGTATACTTAAACAAAATAACGAATGAATTCAGCGGACTAAACGCATAGAGAAACAAAGACCGTTAATTACATAACGTTCCCTTTTTGAAATTCGCACCTTGTTTGCATCTTTTTTCCGCACACGGAAATGATTTATGCCTACTTTCCTGCAATGCTATTTACTAGTATTTAGTTGTCTTCCCACGAAAACAAGATGTGACACAAGGTCGGTTCCATGTGGGGCAACTTTGCGCGTACACCCGGGCCAGGGTCAAAAATTGCTGGCATCGGTGTTGCTATCGATCTTCCTCTTTAATGTAATGAGTGGGGTACTGCTTCAGGCAGCTGTTCCCCGGGACCGGGCACCTCTCAATATTTTCTCATTTGCGCTGTGTCCGCAGACTGAGACACAAAAGACCGAAGATAGAGACGCAACTGAGAGATGAGAACAGCGAGCCGGACAATGGACTACCAGAATGCGATGCTATTTACTCTTCAGGGTAACCTAATCGGTCTATTCGTGACTAATAAACGCCAGTAAGAAACAAGGAAAGAGAGGTAACACTAAAGATATCAAGAGAAACAAATAATTTCCAGAACTATCAGGATTGGTACTAGTAATATACCAATTAACTCGTAACGATAATATTAGACGTTTCTTTATGTGGGAATATTTAGAATTTATTGACTGAGCAACCAGCGCTACTGTTGGTTGAAATTTATAAAATCTTTCTGTTAAAACAAATTTTCAGGAAAATAAGTTTCCCAAGTTAACTCTTACTGCCTTTTTCATTAGTGATAGTGGCATCCTTGCTGACATTGTATAGTGGCTGGTTAACATTAATTTCTCAACGAGTAACTTTTGCTACCCGTTTTAATCGTTACTTGTGATGAAAGTATTCAGGTAATGTAGTTTCTATTATTTGGTACTGTTCTTTTCTTTGTGGTTCTCTAGCGCCAGTCAACAAGGCACCAAAAATTGGTTTTGTTCAGACCTACATACTTCATTCGCACCGCAGCCATTTTTATCATTGACCTGAGAAAATGGTTTGTATAAAGCTGAGAATTTAGATATTTCTCGACGATTTTAGCATGACAACCATATGAAAGTCTCCATGTGACGAGGCTATTCAAGAACATGGTCAATGTTTTTAGAGTCAGGTTAATGTTTTGGTTTGTAGTAATTTGAGGTACTAGGAAAAATTGCCTAGAGCAACCAAATTATTTATCTGTTACATTAAATTTTATATAATTGCTCCATACTCTGAGCTATTTTCAGTGTTTGGTATTTATTCATTACACACCCTGGATTTTCCTTATAGATCCAGGTACATGTCTTCAATACTTTCATTCCAAGAGTAGGTTACAGTTTCTTTTGTTAGAATGGTTTAACTTTCGTCCTAATTCTTGGAACACTTTGTATAAAATCATGATTTTTTTTTGTTCAAGATAATTCTTATCCCAACTATGAATACATATTTCATCATAATATTTCCTCACCACATCATCAGTATATTGAGATGTGGTATGGAATACGTAAAGAATAAGTACCCATCTCTTCACATCTGTTACCATATATAGACAGGAGCAGCACAGTCTTCACATTCTAGTCTCGAGAGAGTCCAAAAGCGTTTCCGGGTCATTGTGGGTGACAGCAACCCAGCTCTGTCGCTATTTGCATGGAAAGTTTCCAGACAAATTTAATTCCTTAGTTCCACCAGTTCTTACCTTCACGGCTAGTACCCGCCATGCTACGCCCATTGTGGCGAACCACCCTCATTCCCTTCGTAATCCTTCGGTGAAATGTAAGTTCCACTCGAGCAGCTTCTTCCGACGAAAAGCTGCTTTGTGGAACCGGCTCCCAAGAGAATATTTCCCGGATCACTAAAATATTAACCTGTTCAAATCTAGGGTTAACCGTTATCTTCCCCACATATCCGCATAAACTGTGCTACTTACACAGTAGCCCTCTAGCACGAGTGGCTCCCGGGGCTTGTACAAGATGAAAATCATTGTAAGATAATCTGTGTTTGTAAATGTACAAGGCATGGTCTAGTAAAAGATTCAATAGATTTGAGCTCTCATGACCTCCTTGTCATCCTCTTAAGGTTTGAAATGTTTCCGTAATGGGTTCTTAACTAGACATGTAGCGACACAGCTTCTCTAGTAGATATATACGTCCAGTTAATTTTGAAATTTAAAATAGTTATAAAGTGTATACAGTTTATCTGTTAGTTTAGTCACTAAGTTAAAGGGGGATATTCAAATACGATGGTTTAGAGAAAAGGGACCGAATTAATTAATGCGAATTATCTCTCCTACTATAGATTTCTCTTGGTCATGTCTCTTATGGCTCTCCGCATCGTCTTATCCCTTGTGGCTCTTAGAGTTTATCCATTTGCCAACCCTCTTGCAACTCGTTCTAGCGTGAATTCACGTCAGGTAGGTGTCTCGCTGCCTTCATCGATATCTTTTGCTCTTAATATGCCCTTCATTCGCCTACTCTCTGTTCTCTCACGGGTACGTCACCAAAAATAACGTCCCCATTCACATAAATACAGTAGTAAATAATGTATGTTAGTCTGCAGTTAGGGATTCATCTCCAGTTGTGCTGGCCAAACTCTCTGGCTCCCAGCAGAGAGGATCCCCTAAACGAGGCAATGTCGAAGGACAGAGTCTCGTTTCGGAAAACAGCTACCCGACCCCGTTTTATCCGGGATCTACGGAGAATTTTTGGCCAAGCCTACGGGCTCGGATACCCCACATTAAATTCGGCCTTGTGCCACGTCTGACCGCGTGGGGCGGTTGGTAGATATCCTGCAGTTGGAGATTCGTCTCCAGCTGTGCGGGTCAAACTCTCTACCTCCGGGCGGAGAGGATCCACAGACGAGGTTATGGCAAATGGCAGAGTTTCGTCTCGGGAGACAGCTACCTGACCTTGTTTTTTATGGTGTTTATGGGGGATTCTTTAGCCGAGCTTACGTGCTCGGTTACCCCACAATAAACACGGCGTTGTACCACATTTGACCGCGTGGGGTGAGTGAATATCTCAAATATGCAAGTATTATCGCATTATTGAACCCGAGAACAATAAAAAAAAAATCCATGTTTAACAAAAATTAATTTTTCGAATGCTTAAGATGTTTTGAACAAACATAAAAGCTCAGTTTTGTAGAAGTCAAATAATTTACCTTCTAACATGGCTGCCTTCTTGTAAATGCAAGCCAGCTAATTCTACCTTATTTATAGGAGAGTACCTAATGCAGCAGGTAGGTTGGTCTATTTTGCTGGAATGGACCTGCACAACACATGAGTGGTCTCTATCCACCCATATATAGCTCCATTAAATAACTCAGGTCTACTTGTGGGTCAGACCACTTGAAAGACCACCAATATTCTACAAGTTTGAAATTAGTTCTTTGTGCGGACATATTTGAAATTTTGTACTAAAAATCACTTCAACGTCTAAATAACTCTGCTCCAATTTCGTATTTAAGTGAAATCTTGTCAGTTTCATTTATTACAATGTCTTAGAAAAATAAACTTTCTCTATGCAATAATGTCTCGATTTCGGAGAAATGAATTCTTGGGTGATGAATGGATGAACCAAATAATATTTGTTTAAATTTGAAAGGAAAAACCAGTAATTTTTGCTTCCTGGGTATGACAATAATCTACATCCGCGTCCTGGGTAGACGAAGGCCCCTGATCAGGAGGTTTTGAGGAGCGTGAAACCACCTCTTAACTACTGGTGTTCCCAGGTCAAACCTGACCTGGGGTGGTAGCACCTGTTATGGTCCCAGCTATGGCCAAATAGTTAACCCCCAAACTGGGGTCAAAACACTATGAAAGTGTAAAAATAGGATTTAATTCCAGCAATATATTTTTGTAAAAATATTGCCAGCAATGAATTCTCGAATAAAAAAAAATATTACCAACCATGCATTTAAAATAAACAAAAAAACCAAACAAAACAGTAATACATATTTGGAAAAAAAACAAAAACAAAAAAAAACATTACCATCAATACATTTTTAAAGAAAAAAAATATTACTAGCAATATATTATAAAAATATTACTTGCAATACATTTTTGGAAAAAAGTTAACAGCAATACATTTTGGAAAAACAAAAAAAAAACATTAACATCAATACATTTTTAAAGAAAAAATATTACTAGCAATACATTAAAAAAAAATATTACCAGCAATACATTGGAAAAAAAGTTAACAGCAGTACATTTTAGGAAAAAAAACGTTACCATCAATACATTTTAAAGAAAAAATATTACTAGCAATACATTTTTAAAAAAAAATATTGAGAGCAATAAATTTTTGGAAAAAAAAAAATTACCAGCAATAAATTTTTGAAAAAATATTACCAACAATACATTTTTGGAAAAAATATTACCAGAAATAAAAAATCTTGTCGGTATTAAACAATCTATTGCGGATGGTATGCGGTAAATCAAACCAAACCAAACCAGTAATTTTTTCGGTAAAATAATTTACCATGTGAAGTCACATTTCAGAGCCAGTTGTTATTTTTCTAACCACTAAAATCTTAGCCTCGATAGGTCAAGGATCCGTCCTCATTTACACTTCTTATACGTATAATACCATTCTGTTTCCTTCATATCACGCATCACTTATATTAACAGTAAGCCATCAGAACAGAATGAAAAAGGGTGTACTGTTGCCATATATACGCTTGAGCTTCACCCTCACATCCCGGGCTTAGCAGAATTTCAAAATCTTTACTCGGACTTCTGGGCGATAAAATATTTTCCACCCTACAATCGCTTTCCCGTAGATAAAACTACTCTATCGTCATTTCAATGTAAAAAATTTCTGACGTTCCGCTTTCGGATGCACGCCACTTTGAAAGCCTCTCGTTATTATGTTGCTATTTCCATATCTGTTATAGTCCAGGTTAGGACCAAGGAAGAACCACACGAACACAAGACTCGAAATAACGAAGGTATATTATACGAAATAATAATACAAGATGTAGAAGGTGTTAGTATGACTGTCAGTCTGGTTTGGAGTGAACTACTATCGGCTCGACTCGATTCGACCCTCTCTCTTGGCGTAGTATTTTAGGAAAAGTTCATTCTGTAGTTATAGGTAGGACCCATGACAATATCAAATATTCCTTCGTTCCATCAGTTCAGACTTTCACAGGTAGGACCCGCTATATCACGTACACTAAGGCGAATTATTGCCATTCCCTTCATCTTCCATTAGTAGTAAGGAAGTTCTATTTGAAAACCTTCTAAGCGTGACTTTGAGACGATTCTTCTCCGATCTTTACAATCTTAACTATATACAGTTTCGGCTCAGCTATTACCTCTGTGATATATCACCACAATTTGCATTTCTTGACACTTTCTCCTGTATTCATGCAACAACCTCATTCTATACCCTCTACTTTGAGTGGATTTTGGGCCTTTTATAATAAGGCAAAAATATTCTATCTTGAATGACTGTCGATTTTGTTCCATCCAAATGTATTAAACGATGGACTGATTCATATATCAATGACATTTATTAATAAAAATAACAAAAAATCCAAAACGATGCGCATTCTTAAATTAGATTCTTGTTTAGACAAATATTAACCTCTGGACGGAATAAAATGTTAATGTTCTATCCCTGTAAGTTTCCTGGTAATTAGAATATGGTATATATTGTATTGTTATATCAGAATAAGGCATGGAAATTGATCTTTTGTCAAAAAAAGAAGAAAAGTTAATTGTGAAAATTTATACAAAATGCCCTGACTTAGTCACAAAGCGAGCCCAAATTCTGCAAAACAGTTTTAGAAAATGAAATCGTTTTCTTGTTTTTTATTCATTGATTCGGTTTTTACGGTTTATCAACCTTTTGTAGCTTATTTAAAACCAAAACAGGCTGGGAGTTATAGGAATGATACTTTTTTTTCTTTTTGCAAGTGAATATTGTATTAGCAGTTTTTTTTTAGATAATAATGATTTTCAGACACACATCTTACTATTTAACCTGTAGTTGTTGGGAGAAGAACTGGCTTCATAATTTTTCAAATAGTATCTGCTCGTAAGTGAATATAAGGGACCGAACTGGAAATTGAACTCCCATGTCTCGTTCTAAGCCGTTATCCACACCACCCTCAAACCCAGCTTACAGTACCTGGAATTCCTAAATGGTCACCCATCTTGTTAGTGTCCAGGCTTGATGCTGTTTAACTTCGGCGATCAGATGAGAACCGGTGTTTCAACGTGATATGGACGTAATACTTATTACGTTGGGAGGATCTCTCTTGTCGTGATTATTCAATAGATTTAAGATGTTAACATTTCCATTTCGTTTAAAAAGACAAGAAGGTTCATCTTCATGAGAATGCTTTTCTGCTTAGAATTCCGGATCCTCAAAAGAAAGAATTAAAGGATGACTTTTTTTGCGTTGCGTTTTCACGTTCTTAATAATGGTTATTTTCTTGATAAATGGATTTATTGTTTATAACATGAGGTTTGACTTTTATTTTGTCTCATGAAGTTGCAAAGCTGTAAACGTGATTTTATTCTTTCCTCGAAGATGTGAGGTCCGATTGAAAAGTATCGGAACTGTTGCTATGGTAACATAGCTAAAGTAAGCACTGATTCACAATGAACTCTGTCGCGCAAGCATACTGTTATAACATTCTCCTTCGACTATGTTGTTTATAGCAGTGCTTGGAAAGAAAGTGTGTAGAGTCTGAATGGTTTACCACACTACAAAATTTCCCTCGGTGACCTTGGCTTGTTCAGCAGTTTTTTTATTTGCCAAGCGCTGCATTCAACCAGCTCAACAACCACCATATTATCCAGATCTTGCCCCTTGCGAATCTCTCCTTTTTCCAAAAATCAAAGTCCAATTGAAAGGAACAAGATTTCAAGACAACGAGGAAATCCTTGAGAATGCAACGAGGAAACTATCCCTTCAGGCAAAAAAGAGTTTCTGGAATGCTTTCTTGAACGGAAAGGATGCTGGATAGAGCGTGTAGCTTCAGAAGGGGACTACTTCGAAGGAGATTAAATACTGAATTGATATGAGCTTTAGTTTTCTTTTTATAACACCAGTCCTGATACTTTTTGATAAGACCTCGTAAATTACAAAGAAAAAACAATATTTATTTTTATAAATATCATTTATTTTTAATTATTATTATTATTATTATTAGTAGTAGTAGTAGTAGTAGTAGCAGCAAAATACTAACGGCATGAGTAGCAAAATATCTTGTTTTCCTGTGTGAAATAATCATTTACCAAACCACACACACACACACACACACACACGCGCACACACACACACACACACACACACACACACACATATATATATATATATATATATATATATATATATATATATATATATGACAAATTGTTAAAGGTTATTGTGACGGGTTTCATGGGTTAGGGACTTCACCAGATGAAACACGTCACAAAAAACCTTTTTCAATTTGTCAAACATCTTTCTTTCAAAACAGTTCTTGATATATAAAAATTTTATATAAAATTATATATCGTTATCTCATATATATATATATATATATATATATATATATATATATATATAATAAAGAGTTTTTCCACGCATGTGAGCCGAATACATTAGCATAATCTTTTGTATTTCAAATAAAGATTAATTTCATGGGATTTCCCTAATCATTCATCTTAATCATTGTAATTCTTAATCATTCCAATTCTTAATCATTCCTACTGGAATAATGGTTGTACTTAAATGAAACATTCGTGTGAGTTCTATTCCCAAGTCCTTATATTTGCAGAGTTTATTAAATTCTTTTGCAAAAACTTTTTTCAGGCCGTATCGTCATACATATAAGATTTGCCAAGCTTTTATTTATTTATTTTTTTAACATTATCGCGCAAAAGATTTTAATAACTTCTAATTAATGCATGGAAAGCAGGTCGAAGCAACCACGTCCTGGGTATGACGATAAACTACATCCGGCAGCAAGACCTCTGATTAGGAAGTTTTGATGAGCGTGGAACCACCTCTTGCTGTTTTTCTCAGGTTCACCATGACCCGGTTTGGTAGAACTTGTTAGGTTCCCAAGTATGGTCAAATACCGAACACCAAATAAAATATGCAGTACATTTTTATAATAAAATGACCAACAATATATTTTTTATAGCAAAATGACAATCAATGCAAAGCTAAAAAATATAAAAAATAAATTTTTATAGTAAAATTAGAAACAATTCATTTCATGATCTACATAATGTATATCTGAAAATATACCTTTATTCTAAAATTATAAAATTATCAACAAAATATCTGAAGTTTAAAGCATAAAATTACGTACAAAATTTAGATTTCAGGATTAAATAACCCATAGATGTTGATATGGCACCAAACAAAATCAAACCACCAACATGAAAGAACTATTTCTTATATAATATCCTACAGTCTTAAAGAAATCAAATTGTATTCCAAAATATAACTTCAACAAAACTACTGCCTAAAACACACATAACACCACCTCTAGTAATTATGTCCATACAAACATGTATATACATGAAAGCTGAGTATTATCTACCATTTATTCAATTGTGAAAGCACAATAACATATATCATATTTTTATTATTTCAAAACTCTCAGTAAAATTAAATTTCGGCATTAAATGACCCATGAAGGAGTTGATGTGTCGTTAAACAAAATATCAAATTCATTAAATCAAAGTTGTTATGCCACTAAACAGAATTAAACAACCTACAAGAGAAAAAAAAGACTCTTTCATGACATTAGTCCATATGATATTCTATAATTTCTTAACGAAATCAAACTGTATTCCAAAATATAACTTAAATAGAACTACAACATAAAACACATATCACCGCTTCTAGTAATTATGTCCACAGAAACATGTGTATGCACAAAAGCTGAGTATCACCTATGATATCTTCAATTGGGAAAGCAAGAAAAATAAATTTCGGCATTAAATAACCCATAAAGTGTTGATATGCCATTAAACAAACAAATAAAAAAAAAAAAATCGAAACAACCAGCCTTAGGTGTCAGACAATTTTCCTCTGGCTTTAAGTGTTCATCACTTAACGGATTATTCTTTCTAAGAGGTTTCCTTCCTGCAACATTTCCACTGAGCAATCAATGTTAATTTTCTTTGTCCGTGTCTCCATTCTATAAGTCACTGCACCAAGAGCACCACTGATCACTTGCATCCTTAGGACATCTTCATCTACTAAAACCGTGTTCAATCTGCAACGAGCCATAGTTGACTACATTCTCGTCTTCATCTTGTTATATCCTGGTATCAAAATGACATGGCGGGTCAATGATCAACCTTTCTTTTCCAGTTTTATATTCCAACAATATGTCTAGTTTGATAAGAAATAAGATGAAAAGAATATTAGGATGTTGTAAGTAGTTTACAACCATTGAAGCAATGAGGCATGAACAGCCAAGATGAATGCACGAGTTCATATAAATTAATGCATTAGAAAATAGAAAAAAGAAGTTATTTTCACAAAAAAATGTCAAAAGTAACTATTTTTAACGGAACAATTAAAATGAAGTCTTAATTGATAGCATCGAAACAAATTAATAATTGAAGAAATTGTTAATAGTATTATTCAAGGCATTGTGCCAATAGGGCAGGTCGATTTTGAAACCGTGGTGTTGCACTCAGTTTGAAATTTGGGGTTTTACACTATAAATAAGCACACAAAATAGCTTTTTCCAAATCGTTAATGTTTATGATAAAAATCTTAGCGTTGGAATTTAGTTCCGGTAATCAGTGAAAACCTTATCGCACGGTTTATAAAATTTATAATTTACTCAATTGTATATAGACAAGATTCATAGCACAAGCAAATTATTACTAAATTGTTGTGCCAACAAATAAGACCTTTATTGACTTCAAAGAGAAATTATACTGAACAATTTACCTATATAATGATGCAATGTTATACACTACAGTAGTTTTATTTTGATTTTCAATAAACGATACTAATTTAAAATATTTTGTCTTGTGTCCAGAAGTATTATAGTGTTATATACACTTTTATCTATTTTTTTTTATTTTTATTAATTATGATCTATCAAATGATCTAACAAATTTTATTCATTGACTGGTCTTTTTTGTAATCTTTTACAATTTTTTTCCATAGTTTTTACTTATCGAATATAGTAAAATAAGTTGCATAATTTGCTTGTGAAGATTCATAATTAGAATTCTGGTTTGAATATATTTTCGATTCAGTGCGTCTAAATAAATATATATATAAACTTTATTTGGATTTATTCCTGAAATAGTAAAAGTCAGTTTGTAAGCAAAAACCTGCGGAAATTAAGTATTTCTGTACATTTTTTCAGATGATTTTTAAAACTAAATACTCAAAAATTGATGAAAGTTAGGAATTTAATTTTTGCTGTCAGTACTCATCACATCAAACACCAGCTTACACACTGAGTGCAAAAATAATATTCTTAAATCAGTGAAAAATAAAACGGCTCTATTTTCCCAAGAGGTGAGCGAAGAATTGGAGTTGCCAAAATCGAGTAAGATTAAATATTTGAGATGATTTTTAAAAGAAAATGTGACACCAAAAGCCGAAAACGAATTGGAATTTCAAAAGCTAACCAAATTATTATGAAAGAAGATAATTTCATTAGAAAAAAAAGGAAAAGGGTGCTCAAGTTTTATGTAATACCAATCCTTCTATATAGCAGGGAATGCTGGTAAATTTCCTCACAGATGAAGAGGACACTTGAGGCAACAAAAATGTGGGTCTACAGAAGGATGTTGAGAATGCCACGAACGAAGCTTCAAGGAAAAGGGAAACAAAAAGTAAAATTATACTTAGAATAATAAAGAGGCATTATAATGATCTATGATATATAAATGAGGAAAGAAAGCTTGTAAAAATTGACACTCGCATGATAGAGTGAAGACTAGAAGGAGTGGGGTAAACAGCTAATAACTTGCTAGCGAAATCGTGTGAATGGATAGAATTGGACTGGCAGTGATAGTAAGATGACAAATATTGCTAAGAGCTACAAAGGAGAGGAAGATGTGGAGATCCATGATCACCCACATACCGAAGAGACACGATTCAGAGAAGAATAAGAATTTAAGAATAAAAACGTGATGTGTGTTACTTTGATAAGAAATACGATTTTTCAAATCACCGTAAGTGTTGTTAAAATACTTTATATCTTCCTCCTTTTCAGTCAAAAATATAGACTTGCGGCAAAATTACGCAAGT